CAATTGTTTAGACCTGCAAACAAACTTTACACTATTTTTTGTATATTTAAGTATCTGTGATAAAATTTTCTTAAGAGCTGTATGATCTTTTCAGTCTGCAGGTTTTTTTAAAAAATTTGTTCAACAATGATAACGAAAATCGCGGCGGTCTTTTTGCACAGTTTCTGAACAATACTCTGTTTGCCAGTCATAACACACGAAATGAAAAAAATATATGTCTAAAAGCTATTAAACTTTTTCTACAATTTTTCACAGAAAAATATGCAAACTCTGGAAGTATTCGTGTGTTCTAAAGGTACACAAACAGAACATATTGAGAGCTATCAGCCACGCAAATAGTCTTTCACGCAGATTCTAGTGATTCGGTTTTTTGAAGAAGAAAACTAGGTCATTGCTTATAAAAATAAGAACATTTATATATTTTTTTAGAACCTCTACAGTAAAAAAGCTTTTTAAAAGACCAAAATACTTTGAATAAATGCGGTCTAAATAAAGACGAGAGATTAACAAGTGCTCCTTTATCTGCTAACGTTGCTCACCAAATACTGCTTTCATTTCTGCTTTAAATATTTTTCAACACACCAAATCACGTAGAATTTTTAAAGACTTGAAGTATAAAAACTTATATACTCTTTATTTAGATTCAAAAAACACCTATAAGTTTTTCATTAAAAAATAAAGTTTTTTATATATATTCTACAATTCTTATGGCAAAAAGTGCCAATTCTTATATGATAATTGTTCATTCGCACTTTATTATCACCAAAATGACTGCATAAAATAGCATCAGCAGATCAGGTGCTAATTGATCAATGTTTGCGTCTTCTTTGACTAACCGTTGTTTTGTTCAAAAAAAAAAACGTCTACAATTTTGCAGTCATTTTACCAGTATGCAATAATTCACACTAAATTTGCAGATATTTTGTGACTATAGACTCAAAAATCAAAGCCTCAATTATAATGTAAGTTGACTAATTAAAGCCTAAAAATTTTTTGTTTATTATTTTCATAGAAAAAGCCACCTCATTAAATTATAACTAAGAAAAGAACAGTGAAGCTGAGGACATTTTTGAATTTAAGTGTTTGAAATATTCTGTAAATGTATGCTAATATAAATTTAATACATTTAGTAAAATATTTTCGAGCAGAAAGTAGAAAGACTCTAGTAATTGACCTGTTGAGTGGACTAAGCAGATAAAGAAAATAAGCCAGGAAATACCAAATTGTCGAAAGTTATTAATTCTTAAAACACATCAAGTAACAAAATCTATATAAATAAAGCCTGAAAAATTCTGTAGTCGTAAACGTTTTGCATTAAAAAAATCAACGAAAATTTTGGTTATGATTGTATAAATAAATTACACAGTAGCAACTGAAAACTGCGTTATATTAATATCAATTTAGAAAAGCATTCAGATTGTCTGCAAATACTATTAATTAGTTTACAGTCACTGCAGCAAACACTTTAAAGAGACTGGCAAATTTTTTTTTATAAATCTGATCAACTTAGTAACAGTCATTAAAAACGTTGTTAAACAACGAACTATAAAATTTGTTAAAATGTTAAAAAATTTTAAAGTTGTCAAGTAATTATAGCAGAAAAAAACTTTTGTAAAGTTTTACTTTGCAGTTTCTGATCTAATCTATTATCGTTGCTTCTCAAAAGCATATCATCAACAAAAAATGGCACTATTGATGACAAATCCAAAAAAAAAAAAGAAATTCTTATTTGCTAATTTTGATAAGCTAAATTTTTATCACGTTCTAAACGAATTGTCCTATGTTTCAAAGTTTTATGGCCAAATAATTCTTACTAGTGATGATTTTCTCAGTTTTTGTATTACTATTTGGCTGATAATGACGCAGAGCACAGTTGTCGTATCAAAAAAAAACGCTTAACATTTTTTGATAAACATTACCAGAAATTTTTGTTTACAGTATTTTTTGGTCACTGATAATGATAAATTTTGTACTGCAAATTATTGTCGGTTATCGTCTAATTATCTTTATCAAACACACTTTCCTGTTATCTACTTTGATGTTTTCTGATCTTATTGATAGTTTGTCAAAGTATACTACTTTTGTACGGCTGTTCCACTACTATTCTTCAATATTTCATCTGTGTTTGTGTTTAAAAGCGAAATTTTTGTTAAAAACATTGAAAAATTTTTGCAGCAATTTAAAAAGCACTTTTTTTGAAATTTATTATTGGTCTACTTCTGTAATTTGGATGTCTATAATAAAGTAGTTACAAAAAATTTTTTGAAAAGCATATTTTAAGCATCAAAAAATACAATTTTTTGGTTCATTTATAAAGTTTTTTAGCATTTTTATGAAACCAATTTTATATGATCTGATCTGTTAATATTGCGAGAAGTTTTTTTTCTTAAAAGCTTGCAAAGTATCAAGAAAATCAAATTCTTATTAATGAAAAATCTTTTGCTCCATTATTGAATGTCGCTGTCTTAAATGGCTTCGAGTAAAAGGATTACTTTAAAACTGCTATTTCTAAACTGCTTACAATTAACTTTTGTTTGCACTAATTAAAAAGCTTTATTTGTTAGTCTTGCCAATAAAATAAAATTTGTTTAATTTAAATTTAAAACAGCAGTTTTTTGATGCATATAAACCATAATTTTTTTATAGAATTGTATTATCCACGAACAGTGAAAGCTTATCAATGAAAACCAGGCTACCTAAAATTTTTTTGTTTTTCTTAACAGTAATTTATTTGACAAGTGCTGAAAGTGTTGACGACAGTTTGGTGCGTATACTTTCTAATGGAGCTCTTCTAAAAGGTCGAAGGGTAATGTTTCAGATGATTAATATAATCCGTTATCTTCAGATTAAACTTAGCGCAAAATAATTTAATCGATTTATGTAAAATGTAACGTGAGCAGTTAAGGTCTCTTCACAGTATCTTAAAAATTCTGTGAAATTTCTGAAAACTAATAACTTGTGCTCGTCAAATAACTTCTGCTTGAAGGTTGTAGCTGACAACGAAGAACCTGTACATTTTTATCTGAGCATACCATATGCTGAAGCTCCAATAAATGAGAATCGCTACAAAAATCCAATTCCGAAGAAAAAATGGCAAGACGTTTTAGATGCCACAGAATACCGGGTTATTTTCAAAACGTTTATTTTCCTTTAATCAGTGATCAACTGGAATTTATTGCATCCTATTTTTTCAGGTTTCTTGCCTCTATGATAGCGCTGATGCTGAAAAAATCAAAACTAACGATTATATGAGCGAAGATTGTTTGCACATCAATGTGATAACACCGGAACGCTGTGTAAACGAGCAGAATTGTTCCGTTGCTGTAAGAACTTCGCTAATTGCTCTTCTAACGATTTTATTTGTTAAATAAACTGCTGTGCAAAAAAAACCTACAAAAAATTATTAAAGTTAAGAAAAAACCTTTATTCAGGTGATGTTTTTCGGTGGAAATTACAATTACGGTTCGCCAATCATAATACCTGCTGAAACTTTAGCTAATAAATGGGCCTCTTATGGAATCGTAGTGGTACAAAATATTTATGCAACTGAATAGTTCTGCTTGCTCAAATGACCAACTAAATCATATTCTAACG